GGCTAGAGTGCAGAGGTGTGATCTCAGCTCACTGCAACCTCTGCCTCCTGGGTTTTCAAGCAATTCTCCTGCCTCAGCCTCCTGAGTAGCTGGGACTGTAGGCACATGCCACCACACACAGCTAGCTTTTGTATTTTTAGTAGAGACAGAGTTTCACCACGTTGGTCAGGCTGGTCTCAAACCCCTGACCTCGTGATCCATCCGCATAGGCCTCCCAAAGTGCTGGGATTACAGGTGTGAGCCGCCGCACCCAGCCCCTATTGGAAGATTTAAATAAAGTAGGTAAATGAAATTTATTTTTCTCAGAAGAGTAAGCAATGAATACTTTTAAGTGTTTTTTGAAAAAGTGGCATTTTGGGTATGTTATGGAGCACTTAAGCAATAAAAGAGGGCAGATAGAGTTACAGGATGAGGAAACTTGACACGTAAACAGTAGGAAAGACAGATGCTAGAAGTCAAGTACACCTATCCTTTAACCCCATGTGAATCTCAACCCTGCCTAGATTCTACCATTCATTCTAATTCCATGAAAAGAGCATCCCATGTACTTTCCAACACAGGAGAAAATTTCTCCTCTAGTTTTAATGTACAACTTAATTACCATTGCTCCTCACCTGACCCTTTGTGCTGGCCACGGGCTGAAGCATCTAGACAGCCTGCAATAATTATGGGAAAGCTCTAAGGCTAATATATGTCATTAGAAAGAAGGTAGACATAAGGGTGCTTTGCAGGCTAGACTAGCTGTCAATGTCAAAAGCCAGGACTTAGAGTTAATGTTCTGAAATTAATCCTTTCATTTTGTAGCCTAAATAGAATAATGCTAAAATAAAATTATTTATTGTAATAGAATAATAACTCTACCTCTTTTTTCTTTCTTTAAAATTTTTAGAGGGAGAATCTGACCTGATCACTCAGTAGTCTCTTCAAACTATGCCCAGCTTCTCCAAAGCTACAATAAAACAAACTGAAACTCCATCAGTAAATACTTAAAAGAACTTTAAAGAGAAAGGATATCCAGATTTAAGAGCAAAAGAAAAAATAATATGTTTCTTACCTAAAATAAGTAGCAATGCAGAGAATTACCACCAACATAGGATAATATATATAGAATCCATCTGCAATAAAGGATAAAACTTTCATGGAACCCATAATCTAAAGAGCAAGAAAAAAGTAAGTTAAATTGGAATAGTTCTGTAATTTCCATTCCTTTCCATCATTAGACAATTTGCCCAAAACCAGTTATACCAACCCACTTGAACCTTTTAAAAAGTAGAAACAAAGCAGTAAATGAACTAATCTTTTTAAAATCTGCTTTTTATTGATGTTTTTCTCTTAAGGAAAATTAATGTAATTGTTATTCAAAATTATCACATACATTGACTATAAATATAAAGTTAATGTTAGTATAGGTAAGTTCTTTTGATACTGCTCAGCTAGACAACCTAAACGAACCAAAACACATTTATATAATAAAAGAAGCAAAATCATGTTCATCTAGTCAATAGTAACATATATATACATATATATATGTATATATATATACACACATATATATATGTATATATATATATATATATATATATATATATATACAATCTTTAAGAGAAAATTTTACCAGTAACACTAAAAAACCTTTCTGCTAGCATTAAAAGAAATTTCACAATAACGGCATCTCATATACATAGTGAACCTAAGGAATTAGTTTTGTGACCATACTTACAGATGTATAAGCAGTTGGCTGAGTATTCTTGTGAGAAATGGATGAATCCATATGGGTCAAACCCAAGAAGTTAAGACATAAAGGAGGTGTCAAACGGCAAAATAGCCTGCAATAAACATTTACAAATATGTATATAAAAAGTAAAGCAGCAAAATACATTTTATTTATATTGAGGTATATTAAACATTTCCAATAATTATATACAAAATTTTCATCTGTTATATATATATATATATATATATATATATATATATATATATGTAATTCTTAATGTGACCTGCCCTCACTTACTTGGGAGGATATTCTGAAAATTGTCACATTAATGCCTACATGACTACAGCCTCAAGCTCCTTGCTTTTATGATTTCTGGCATTGCTTTACCCCCACAAATTGTGGAATGCCTTTGCATGCATCTTCTACGACTAAACCATCCATAAAATGCATCTCCCAGCATGATAAGGACAGTAACATCTTCAAGGTGAATAGTATTCAGTACAAAAAAGAACTGAAGTTGTATCAACATATGTCATTCTGATAAGTATAGGTACAGAGTTGTTCAATTCTGTCCAAATAAAAAGAGTGCCTTACATACCCATAGACATGGAGAATTGGGGCTGAAGAGAATAAAGTGTGCATATGTATAGCGATTCACTCAGGGTGGTAGCAAAAATATTAAATGAAAATATTAGAGAAAGTTATAGAATATAGTCACAAACCTTCTTGGAAGGCCAAGAAGTTTGCATAGTTTCAGTAGAAGTTTCAGCTGAAGGCAGCCTAAATCCCCTTTACATTTAGTCAGTAAGAAAAGCAAATAGCTGGGGTATGTAGAGGAGTTTATCTGAATAACTTGTTTACTCGTGTGGTCTTAAAACTAACCTTTGAGCTGGATGGCCCTGTTGTGGGGAGGTCGACCAGGGATATTACCCACTAACAGTGTTTGCTTTGGGCATTGGAACCTGCCTTTTAATCTTCAACCTCTAGTGGTGTTGACTCAAGCCTTTGTCAATTAAACTTTACTGAATAAATGCAAGTCTCATGACTAAAACACCAAAAGCAATGGCAACAAAAGCCAAGATAGACAAATGGGATCTAATTAAACTTCAGAGCTTCTGTACAGCAAAAGAAACAATCATTAGAGTGAACCAGCAACCAACAGAATGGGAAAAAATTTTGCAATCTACCCATCTGACAAAGGGCTAATATCCGGAATCTACAAAGAACTAAAACAGAATTACAAGAAAAAAACAAACAAACCCATTCAAAAATGGGCAAAGGATATGAATAGACACTTCTCAAAAGAAGACATATATGAGGCCAACAAATATATGAAAAAATGCTCATCATCACTGGTCATTAGAGAAACGCAAATCAAAACAACGTTGAGGTATCATCTCATGCCAGTTAGAATAGCAATCATTAAAAAATCTGGAGACAACAGATGCTGGAGAGGGTGTGGAGAAATAGGAACACTCTTAACACTGTTGGTGGGAGTGTAAATTAGTTCAACCATTGTGGAAGACAGTGTGGCAAGTCCTCAAGGAGCTAGAAATAGAAATTCTATTTGACCCAGCAATCCCATTACTGGGTATATACCCAAAGGATTATAAAGCGTTCTATTATAAAGACACATGCACATGTACGTTCATTGCGGCACTGTGTACAATAGCAAAGACCTGGAACCAACCCAAATGCCCATCAATGATAGACTGGACAAAGAAAATGTGGCACATATACACCATGGAATACTATGCAGCCATAAAAAATGATGAGTTCGTGTCTTTGTAGGGACTTGGATGAATCTGGAAACCATCATTCTCAGCAACCTGACACAAGAACAGAAAACCAAACACCATATGTTCTCACTCATAGGCGGGTGTTGAACAATAACAGGTGGACTCAGGGAGAGAGGCATCACACACTGGGAGCAGTCAGGGGTGGGGAGGGATAACATGGGGAGAAATGCCAGATATAGATGAAGGGGGAATGGAAGCAGCAAACCACCTGGTTATGTATGTACCTATGCAACAACCTAGCATGACCTGCACATGTACCCCAGAGCCTAAAGTACAATAAAAAATAAATAAATAAAATAAAATAAAATAAAAAAATGCGAGTCTCACTGGTTGGTGCCAGCCAGTATTCAAAACTGTTTATAGTACTCTCTAGAGAGTCTGTAAGCCACCCAGACACACTCAGTCGAACTGGCAAAGCATAATATCTATGTGTCAGTGTACTTTATTTATCTGTCATTAAGTCAGGATCTGCAAGAGACACCCCCACAGGTGGTGACTCCAACAGTGGTGCCCAAATGTGGGATGCCCCACCAGTGGTACTTTACACATCTGTCACTGAGTCAGGGTCTGCAGGACAGATCCTGCAGGTGGTGACTTCAGGTATGAATAAAAAAGACATAGAGAAATATTTTGTGATGATAGAACTGTTCTAAATCTTGTGTTGGTGGCTATAGGAATCTATACACACACACACAGACACACACATGCAAATGAATAAAGGATTAAAAAATGGTGAGAATTATATAAAGTTTGTAGTAGAGTTAATAATAATGTTTTACTCTCATTTCCTGGTTTTGATATCGCTGGGGGTAGTGTGGCGAAGGTTACATAGGACTTTTTGTACTATTTTTGCAACCTCCTGTGAGTCCTTAATTATTTGGAAAACAATAAAAAAGATGCTTAAAAATACTTTAGATGTCAATTCCCCTATATTACCTAATTTCATCCTTTATAAATACCTAATAGGACTCATTTAACAATAAGAACAAGTAATGGATTGTACTCTCTTGCCCAAGTTGAAGATACCTCTTTAAATCCTCTCTAAATTCTGTAGGAAAAATTGTTCTTGTTAGTTTTCTCAGTCCTTCTCAACTCAGTGTGAGACCACTGAATCTTAGAACACCATCCAGGTCTGACTTAGTCTCTAAACTCTCCATTGTTCGTGCTCCTTGCTAATCTCTGGTTGGTAAATCCAGGCTCACTAAGTATTGTTTTTTCTGCCTTCTAGCCTAACTTAGTATACCTACTTTAACCTTAAACCTCAAGCAGAAGTTAGCTGGCAATCAACAAACATGAATTTAATATTTAAACCTAATCAATTAGCTCATAGAAATACAGATGTTAGTAGTTAACACCTGTAAACAACAAAAAAAAATAAAAGATTCATAAGAATACACTCAATGAAATAATTTCCCTTGTTTCTAAACACAATCCTACTTACATGCCACTGAAAAGAAGGCTATAAGCATCAGTCTGGTGATGTGAAGCCAAGTAATAATAGTTAAATACACGAATCCTGAACACAGTAGAATAAACACAGATACTTAGGAAGAAAATGGAAAGGAAGCAAGCAATCTGGAAAAAAAACAAAAATGAAGCAGTTTGTTTAGAACAAAGAGACTTTAGCACTTAACAATTACAAGTATTATCCTTCCTTTTTTTTTTTTTTTGAAATAGTGTCCCACCATCTCACCCTGTTGCCCAGGCTGGAGTGCAGTGGTATGATCTCGGCTCACTGCAACCTCCACGTCCTAGGTTCAAACGATTCTCCCGCCTCAGCCTCCTGAGTAGTTGGGATTACAGGCATGCACCACCATGACTGCCTAATTTTTTGTATCTTTAGTAGAGACGGGGTTTCAGCATGTTAGCCAGGCTGGTCTCAAACTCCTGACCTTGTGATCTGCCCACCTTGGCCTCCCAAAGTGATGGGATTACAGGTGTGAGCCACTGCGCCCAGCCCAGCCTTCATTTCTAGCTAACATTTATTGAAGTTGTAATTGAAATATGGGTAACAGAGAATTTTTTAATCACCTACTAAGATTATAGAAAAAAATCTACATTTCAAACTGTTTAATATCTTAGATCCATAAGTTTCTAATCTACCTCCTAAAGTGAGCCTATTTTCCCATTCCCTTGGCAACTCTTCACATGAGGCCTATAAGTTATGTAGCTTTACTGGCATAAATATAATCAAAGTATTCCCAGGGCCGAGTGTGATGGTTCAGGTCTGTAATCCTAGCAGTTTGGGAGGCTGAGGTAGGAGGATCACTTAAGCCCAAGAGTTCCAGATCAGCTTGGGCAAAATGGTGAAACCCTGATTCTACAAAATATACAAAATTTAGCAGGGGATGGTGATACATGGCTGTAGGCCCAGCTACTTGGGAGGCTAAGGTGAGAGGATCTCTTGTGATTGGGAAGTCAAAAGGATCTCTTGAGACCAGGAAGTGGCGTGAACATGGCTCATTATTCCCGCCATGTTCACGCCACTATACTCCAGCCTGGGTGACAGCAAGATTCTGCCTCCAAAAAAAAAGAAAGAAAAGAAAAAAATATTCTCAGATTTTTGCACTATCTTGCAACTTTTTACGTCTCCTCAAATACAGTTCTTAGTTTCTATAGTGTGGGTAAAATAATGAAGCACACTTTTGGAAGTTTGAATAACAACATTGCTGAAAACATCACTGATTTCATTTTCAGTAGAAGAAATACATGGAGAAAACAGTTAAGGGTTATGCTATAAAGTGACATCTATTTATGATAGGCATAAAATAAACTGACCTCAATATAAATATAATTATATGTTTTTTCTGCCAGCTGTATGAAGACTGCAAAGAGGGATAAGACAGGAGTAGTGCTAAAGAATGTGCACTCTGACCACACAACAATCACAGAGAAGATGGACAGAACCACAGCAAGTATCTTGTAAAACCATGGTCGCAAAAGACATTCCCAGTACCATTCTAGAAGATAAAAGAAAAAAATGATTAGGAAAACTATAAAAGAGTAACAGGGTATTTACATTGTCTTCAAAATATCTCCAAATAAGATATTTAATTACAAAGAAAAAAACAACAATTTTACAGTGGAGAAACCAGGCAAATACCACCCTAACCAAATGATCACCCATAATGGGACAAGCTGATATCATGTGCCTCATGCTATCATGTATTGAGAGGAACATGACATTGCTGCTGTGGTATTCCTACAAAAAAATGCAGAAACTGCATCTAATTTGAAAGAAACATCAAAGTCAAATTCAAGGACGTTCAACAAGAAACTGGCCTATACTCCCAAAAACATCTATATCATAAAACACAAAGACTGAGAAACTGTGTCAGATTAGAGGAAACTAAGGAAACATAACAACTGAATGTGATGCATGATCTGGAATTTTATACAAAGAATATTATTGAGATATTTATAGCAAAATCTGAATGAGGTCTGTAAATAGTATAGTATAATATTAATTTTTGATTCTGATAGCTGTATTCGGCTATGTAAGAAAATATTTTTATTTTAGAAAATATATACTGAAACATTTAGGAATAAGGAGGCACAGTGTCTGGATACAACTCTAAAATAGTAAGAAAAAATATATACAGATAAAGCAAATCAATATAGTAAAACGTTAACATTTGAAGAACCTGGTTGAAGGCTATGTGGGAATATTTTGTACTATTTTGGTTTTAAGTCTGAATTTAGGTAAAAATAAAAATTTTAAAAAGAAAGCTCAATAAATTGAAAAAGCTGTATTTTTACTTCATTTATTAAGCAGTTGAGCTTCTGGCTCACTTTAATTCTTTACAATCTTCCTCTCATCATAATTCCTAGTGATTTCAATATCCATATAAATGATTCCCCTTTCAGTACCTTTGTCTCTTATTTCCTTGACCTCCTCTCCTCTAATGAACTTTTCCTCCACCCTACCTCAATTACTTGTTGCCACAGTGATGCCTAAACCTTTTATTATAAGTATCTCCAACCCTTCCATATAATCTCATTTCAGCATCCTTGTCTCCAAACAATACATTCATCTAGTACAGCATTTCAACACCACTGACTGACCACACCTGGACCAAAGATCAATTTATTCTATCACCTTTTTACTGTTATTTAACACTTTGATGTCCTTCCTTCCTTCCTCATGTGGCCCAGATTCCAGTCTTTGAGGACAGTATCCCACTTCCTTTGCCCCACCTTGCTTCACTGTACCTGCTTAGCTAAACCACACCTGGTTAGATCCAACTCCCTGGCTAGTCTGTGCCTGCATCCATATAGCTGCACATTGCAGGACAAAGACACACAACTTTGTTGACTGGTCTCACTTTAAATTCTGAATCACTAGCTTCAAGTGGGTCCTCAGTACTGCCTAGTTAGCCTACTATAATTCCCCAATCTTCTCCCATGACCACTCTCCTAGGCAACTATTTTGCACCTTTGCTTCCTTCTTCAAATCTCTAAAATCTGCCCTCCTATACTTACTCTTCACACTTCACTGAGAAAATAGAAGTGATTAGAATTTTCTGAAGTTTCTACCACTACACCTTCTCATCTAGTTACATGTGTGCCATACCTCCACTATTCTCTTCATTGTTCACTATTTCCCATCTCATCTCTACTAATCATGAACATTGTCCTAGAAATTTTCTATTGTCTTATCAAATTCTATTATATCATTTACTAATTACATGTGATAATTTCTCTTGACTATGTCCCCAGTCCTCTGTCAGCTACTACACCTTATCTCTGTGTAGTAGTATCTCTTTTATAAGGAAAACATTTTTAGAGTTTTCTACTCTGTCTCCAATTGTTCCTCTTCTTATTTCTTTTAAACTTCAGTCAGGCTTTTTTATCCTCACTTCTCTAAAATCCAATGGTCAATTCTTAGTATTTATGATCCTTAATCTATGTGCAACATTTGAAAAGATACTTTACATACTCTTTTCCTCAAAACACTTCATTGTCCTGATTTTCCTATTTCATTCCCTCCTTTTCTAGTTTTTTCTGCTGGTTACTTTCTCACTGACCTAATCTCTAAATTGTGGAGTGCCTCAGGCTTGGTTCTCAAGACTTTTCTCTTTTCTCTATCTCAATTACTTCTTTATTGATTTTATCCTGACCCCATGTTTCGCTACACATTGATCGCACCCTAATTCATACCTGCAGTTCAGACTTCTCTGTTGAATTTCAATTTCTCTGATTAACTGACTATTCGGCATCTTTATGCCTTTATATGTTCATTGTCTGTTTTCCTCACTCCACAAAAGCAGGAATTTTTGTCTTTTTGAATCAATATATGCCAAGCTACCAAGCACCCAACAATATATAACACTAATGTGCCCAAATATTTGTTGAATGAATGAGAACAGATACTACATCATTCCTTCATTTAACTAGGAAGGATTTTTGTTAAAGAAGTTTTTTGAGATATTTATTACAGCCATTAGGTCTTCATACTCAAAACCAAACATGCAAAGGAGGAACAAGTGAATATAACCATTTATTTGAATAAATAAGGTTTAATAAGTTTAAATACTGTGACACTTTAATACTGTGACACTGAGGAACAAGTGGATATAACCATTCATTTGAATAAATAAGGTTTAATAAATTTTAATACTGTGACACTTTGGTACTTGCATTAAGTTTCTTCACACTAAATTTAACGACACTTGAAGGGAGTGTCATAAATTATCAAAAAGGAGAAAAATAAGGATGACTACAGAGTACAGGTTTTATAACAAGACTAATAAAGAGGACTACTTAGGGGACTATTTCAGTAGTATGTCAAGACTGAAAAAGAGACCCAAGCTTGTGATATAAAATTACTTAAAATTCTAACTATTTTAAGTACAGTCATGTGTCACATAACAACATTCCAGTCAATGATGGACTGCATATACAATGGTGATCCCATAAAATTACATCACTACATGTTTATGATTAACTTTTCTATGTTTAGATACACAAATACTTACCACTGTGTTACAACTGCCTACAATATTCAGTACAGTAACTTACTGTATAGGTTTGTAGCCTAGGAGTAATAAGCCATACCATATAACCTACATGTGTAGTGGGCTATAACATCTAGGTTTCATACATACTCTATGATGCTTATATAATGATGAAATTGACTAACTACACATTTCTCAGAATGAATCCCAGTCAATAAGTAATGCATAATTGTATATATTATGCATTATACAAAATATGCTTCATGTATACATGTTTTTTAATAGAATTTTTATTATTTGTGAAGTAACAGTGGAAACTGGTTTATGTTATACGGTAAGTAAAATAGTTATTTTGGGGAAATGTTATCAGATACTTAATATCACAAAGTATAAATCAAATAATACAAATAAAATTCAACTTTGCATTGGTGAAAATACATAATTTTTTTCTACAGAAAACTTTTCATCATTAAAGTTTGTAATTTATATCAAATTACATACCAAATGTAGGATTATAAAAATATTGGATAAATCGATTTTCTGGCTCTGGCGATTGAAAGGTGTGAACAAACTGACGAGTAGCACTAGTTTCATTTTTTGCTACATCTTCTAGATAAAATGCTTGTTCCAAAAGAATTTGCCATTGTACTTGAGTTCGACGGTGTCTCTGAACTGAATAAATCACCTAAAAAAGAGAATGGGGGTAGACCTGACAGTGTTCTGATCCAACAGTGGTTCACCTCCCCACTAGGGAGCATGTTTTGATTGTCACATCAGTGGGGAAGTGATAGTGCATTTACTGGGTCAGACTGAGAATATTAATGTTCTAAAATGATGTAACAGTTTCATATAATGCAACAGTTATGCTCAGTGAAGAATTCTCCCTCCCCAAATGCCAACAGTACTCCTGTTGGTATACACAAAGATAAACTATTTCAAGGAATAATGATAAGGACAGGAGCAAAATAAAGTTTTAAATATACAGTCACTAAAAATTCCTTTTTTGGCTGAGGCAGGAGAATTGCCTGAACGCGGGAGGTGGAGGTTGCAGTGAGCCGAGACTGCGCCACTGCACTCCAGCCTGGCGCCTGGCAACAGAACGAGACTCTGTCTCAAAAAAAAATTCCTTTTTTTTTTATGAGCAATGATTACAAGTTAAACTAAAATCATCAGTAAGTGAAATATTTATAATTAACAAAGTTACCTGTTTATGCAGTTTTACCAGACTTTTTTCACTTGGGTAGATATTATGCTTTTCATCAAAATCTTCATAATCATCCATGTTCCTACCCATTTTTTCCTGATACTCTGTAGGGCACTAAAAGGAACAAGTAGATTTTTAAAAATCTTAATTGTAAAAAGATAAAAAAATGTTTTTATTAAAAATCTTTCATTCTTGAGCATCATTTTGAGTTCTAATTTTCTCAAAAACCTCTTCCTACTTTATTGTCATCTCTAGTTAGACTTCTACTTGCTAATATTTTCTTGAAAATGTCTTAAAAGGTGGACTGAGTTTCTTCTCACCTGTATAATATTAATCTTTATGCTCATATATATTAGATATATATGTATGGCTATCAGTAGGGAGCTTACCTACAGAAAGCAACTTGTATTTGAGAGGATTATTCTAAGTAGGGTAAATTATTTTTCTAGCTGAAGAATGAAGAAGCATCATGACAAATTCAAGATGCTGAATTTTTGAAAGGCATAGCACAGAGAAATAAATACATGAATTTAAAGTCATATTCCACACCACTACTCATTTATTACCTATATGAACTTGGGCAAGTTAGTTAACCTCTCTTAGTAGTTCTCAAAAAGTAGCAAATGTGAGAGAAATAGTTAGAAAAGTGATTCCTATGAGTATTATCTCAACAAAACAGAACACTAGACAACAATTAGTATAACAGATTAAAATCCAGGAAAATAAATGTTTCCATGGTTCTGTCAGTTTAAGACAACTGGGGAACTGCAATACCCCTAATTCAGTACCAATGCATCAAAACCTTAACTGTACGATTTATTAAATACCTATGTTAATGTCACTCTTTTTATGATATATTTCATGAATATATTAATGAAATATATTTGGAAAATAACATGTTGGAAGCTGACTATAATGGAGGGCTTAATTTATTTTCTTATAGGACATATGCCTTTAGTGAACATATAAAATAACACTTTGAAGGTTTATTTCCATCATTGTCATGGCAATCCTTATGCATTAGTCAACCTCTATCTCCGTATTTCAACAAAAAATACTGCCAATAATTAGTGTTAAACTTGTAGTAATTTTAAAAAAACTTCAAAGTACAGATGGTTTATGGTTAATATTTACATGAAAATGAGTTTAGAAGAAAATGAGTTACTCAGCTATAGGCTGGTATTTATACTTTTCTCGTACTTTTATAATTTATAATATTATATAAATGCATATTTCAAAAGAAAACATATTTCATTACCTTTTTAAGTATTGTATCAACACATTTTCTCAATGGGTGGTTATACTTGATGCTTTCATTCACTTTACGAACCTCCTATTAAAAACAGTAAAATAAATAAAAATATTTCTATTTCTACAGATCACATATTCCAAATGAGAATGCATTACGTACTATATATTTTCTCACAAGTTCAACTTAGACCCAAATTACTTTGCATTACATGAATAAAAGTTCTTAAGAACACAAGTGAAAATACAAAGTCACTGAAAGGCTATTTCTGTACCCTAAACTTTTTCTTACTTTCTAAATTCACTCTCTCATCACTTCATTACTTGGTATACAAAAAAAGAATAAGCATTATTTAAAAGTTTGCAAAAGATCAGACAAACATTGTGGTCCTAAAAGAAAAGGGCTATCTTCCTCCACCTAACTCATCAGGATCAATTATCTCATTATCTGAAATACAGCAAAAACCAAAGGAAGTAGAAAAGGCTACAAATGTGACAAAGTGCCAGCTCCTTTCCAACAGAAGAGTACTCTAGAGCAGTCATGATTGATTAACTCCATACTTGCTTACTAGGAGCACACCATTAGCTGGCCGGGCGCAGTGGCTCAGGCCTGTGATCCTAGCACTTTGGGATGCGGAGGCAGACAGATTGCTTGAGCCCCCGAGTCTGAGACCAGCTTTGGCAACACGGTGAAACCCTGTCTCTACAAAAAATACAAACATTAGCCAGTCTCATAACTCGACCTCAAAATAAATAAATTAATTAAAATTTTAAAATAGAATAAAATAAAAACAACTCACTCCAGTTAGAATGGCAATCATTAAAAAATCTGGAGACAACAAATGCTGGAGAGGATGTGGAGAAAAAGGAACACTTTTACACTGTTGGTAGGAGTGTAAATTAGTTCAACCATTGTGGAAGACAGTGTGGCAAGTCCTCATGGAGCTAGAAGTAGAAATTCTATTTGACCCAGCAATCCTATTACTGGGTATATACCCAAAGGATTAAAAATCGTTCTATTATAAAGACACATGAACATGTATGTTCATTGTGGCGCCGTTTAGAATAGCAAAGACCTGGAACCAACCCAAATGCCCATCGATAATAGACTGGACAAAGAAAATGTGGCATATACACCATGGAATACTGTGCAACCATAAAAAACAATGAGTTCGTGTTCTTTGTAGAGACATGGATGAATCTAGAAACCATGATTCTCAGCAAACTGACACAAGAACAGAAAACCGAACACTGCATGTTTTCACTCATAGGCAGGTGATGAACAATGAGAACACATGGGCACAGGGAAAAGAACAAAGAGCAACACTCACTGGGCTAGGTTGGGGGAGGGATTGGAGGGAAAGAGAGGGACAGTGGTGGGGTTGGGGGACAGGGAGGATGGGAAAGGATAACACAGGAAGAAATACCTGATATAGGTGACGGGGCGGCAGGGGGGATGGAGACAGCAAACCACATTGCCATATATGTACCTATGCAACAATCCTGCAGAATGCAGGATGTGCACATGTACCCCAGAGCCCAAAAAAAAAAAAAAAAAAACCGTACTATTTGCCAGTACTATGCTAAGTGTAAGGCCCCCATAATCCATACTGGAGGGTAGAGAAAGAAGCTAGGGAATTGACAATCTTAAAATTTCAGTCCAGTAATGAGATAATCATATAAACAATTCTGAATATAAAAAGGCATAAAAGGGTTAAAGACTCTTTAGAACTAGTAGTTCCTAAAGAATCACAATATTCTATAATATTCATGAAATTTAAGAAAAGTTGAGACCACTGTTTTAGTCAGATGAAATAGCATATTTATTACCTAAAAGCATAAGAGAACTGACCAGGATATTTAAAAGAACATTCTGGGGCATAGAGTAGAGCAGGGTTTTAAGGGATACAAAACTGAAGGCAGAGAAGCCATCTAGCACATAAACAAAATTGTGAAAAAAAATTTGTAATTTATATGACAAAGACTTATTATCCTTAATATGGGATGAACTCTTACAAATCAACAGAAGAATGGAAATATAGAAAAAAATACCATTGGCCAATAAATGTCTAAAAAGATATTTGAGCTCACTAAAAACAGTTATAAATTTTTAAAATAAGAAGTTTTTTTTTTCAAAATCGATACCATATATAAAGGTGAGAAAACATGCCCTCTTATACACAGTAAAAAGTAATATATTCTATTTAATTTCACAACATCTATCAAAATTTAGAATACGTATACTCTATAAATAATCTGCACCAGTAGACACTATTCCTGTCAAGGAATTTAACTTAATGAGGAAAACAAATATAACAAACATAGAAAACTATTATCAGAGAAAAGTATGAGATGCTTTAATAAGGGATAACGCAGAGTGGGAGATTTTCTAATTAATTGATTATTTAAAATGAGATGAAACAAAATGTACTGGACTCAGTCAACCAAAGGGAGAGACAAGAATATTCCAGGCAGAGAGACAGAGACAGCATATACAAAGGCCTCCAGGCCTAAGTGAGCACATTACTTGAAGAGACTGAAAAAAGTCCAGTGTGATTACAGGGAAAGGAAGATCAAGGGTCTGCATAGCACTGGATCAGGCTGAAAGAGCAAGATCAAAGTGCTCCTAGAAGGCCTTAATCATGGTTTATTTTGAGGTTAATGTGTGAGGCCTACATATGACAGTGACAAGATAAGACTGGGGTTTTTAAAAGGTCACATGGGAGCATCATTACATCTATTTTCCATTATTAAGCTGCCTTAAAGTTTTTTGACTTGTTAGCACACATTTATCATACTTTGAATATGAACTATACAATTTGTTTATATATTATGTAAAATATGCTTTTATTCTTTAGATTATTTAGCTTATTAAAAAACAAGTACTGATACAGTTAATTAACATTTGCTATATCTGTTATAAATTTAGGGTTCCTTCAAAAGTTCACAATTTTAATTAAGCATGGCAAGTATTTGAAATATACTGCTTGCTTTCTTCATACAAAATAACAAACTTTGAGCTCTCTCATTACTGTGCCTTGTCAAATTCTTTTCTAAGCAGGTCAGACAACATTCATGAAGGGAGGCTAATAGGCAGCTTTCAGTGGAAATAAGTAGCTGTTTCTCCCTCCCTAAAATTATCTAGAAAAATAACAAAAGGTAGAGGTGACCTTTTAGGTCATCTAGCAAATAACTTTTGAATGATTTAACATAGCTTGTAAGTTTTATTAATGCTTCAAAGAGAGGTAATAGACATACAAATGCATCTATCAATTTTAGAGATAAATATATCATAAAAATACCAAACAGTTTTTATAAAACTACATTTGGGAGATTAAATGGATAACTGAAAAAATAATTACCAATGAAGTGATTGAACTTTGTTATCTGTCGAATGACTGGACTTTTCAGTATGAAATTTAAAGCCATGATATAGATTTATTTTTCCAATGTAAACTTTATGCTCAAATTGATTTGGTTTTAAGACTTCTGATATCTGCCTGGAGTGATATCAGCTATCAAAATTCTTTCAAGGCCCAGGTCATACTTCATGTCTTCTGACCACTATTCAGAAGTGATACCTCTCCATGCTAGAGCATTTTCTTGTTATCAGTCATGCCACATTGACCACATACTATAAGGGACTCTGTCCAATTTTCTACTCTAGAAAGTAAGAATAGAAATTTCTATTCTGACCAGTTCTGCATAGCACTTAACATGGAAGGAAGACAAAAAGTACTTTTTAAATGATAAATACATTTTTCCTCAAGTTTATAAGTTTCCAGATGTTCAGAAATGCAGAAAGAATCCCAAAAAAACCTTGAAGTACGTGGTCAAAGAAATTCATACAGAGGAAGTAGAGCAAGATGGCTGAACAGAAGTGTCTACTGATTGCCCTCCCCACAGGAACACTAAATTAAGCAACTATCCACACAAAAATTACCTTCATAAAAAACAAAAAACAAGGTACAACCTCAGCCACTGTTGGGTATATCACCAGGTGGGCTTTTGGGGTCCCAGGTTGCAGGCTGTAGCTCTTAGACAGCATTGTTGAACCTTCTCTGGGTCAGAGGGGAGCCTAGTGCCCTGAAGGGAAAACCCTAGGCATTACAGCATTCACCACAAGCTGACTAAAGAGATGTTGGGCTTTGAATGAACACTGGGGTAGTGAGGACGTATTCACCGTGGCCCTGGGGCAGTAGTGGCCATGGGTGGAGACTCCTGTGGTGTGGAAAGGGGAGGAAAGCATGGGAAGGACTTTGTCTTGTGGCTTGGGTTCCAGTTCAGCCACAAGTAAATTCCTATAGTTTCTAGCTTCAGGCCCTGGCTTCCAGATAGCATCTCTGTGGACACATCCCAACTCAGGGAGAGCTTGCCACTCTAAAGGGAAGAACATAAGCTGAGTTGGCTTCACCACCTGCTGACTGTAGAGAACCAGGGTCTTGAGCAAACATAGGCAGTAGCCAGGAAGCGGTTACCGTGGGCCCTGGACAAGACTCAGTGCCATGATAACTTCAGGTCTAACCCAGTACAGTCCCAGTGGTGGTGGCCACAGAGGTGATTGTGACACCCCTCCCCTACCTCCAGGCAGCTTAGGGCAGAGAGAGAGACTCCAGTTGTTCAGTAGAAAGTAATACAGAACCAGAGTCTCTGTCTGGTACTCCAGAGAATTCTTCCAGATCTTATCCAAGACCACCAAGGTGGCACATCCCTATAAGTCTATAAGAACCACAGCATTAAGGGGCTTAGGGTGTCCCCTAATATAGAGACAGTTGCAGTGACCAAAAACATAGATTACAATACCCAAGTTCCTTCAAATACCTCGAAAGCCTTCCAAAGAAGGATGGCTACAAATAAGCCCATACTGCAAAGACTAACTTCAATGTCCAGACACTGATGAACATCCACAAGAATCAAGACCATCCAGAAAAACATGACCTCACCAAACAAACTAAATAAGGCACCAGGGCTGAGCACAGTTGCTCACTCCTGTAATCCCAGCACACTGGGAGGCTGACGTTGGAGGTCACTTGAGCTCAGGAGTTGAGAACAGCCTGGGCAACATGGTGAAACCTCATCTCTTCAAAAACACAAAAACTAGCTGGGTGTGGTGGTGTGTGCCTGTAGTACCAGCTACCAGCTACTTGGGAGGCTGAGGTGAGAGGATAACTTGAGCCCTGGAGGTAGAAGCTGCAGTGAGCCAATATCATGCCCCTGAACTCCAGCCTGGGCAACACAGTGAGAACCTGCCTTAAAAAAATTAAATTAAATAAATAACAAGGCACCAGGGACCAATACTGAAGACACAGAGATATACGCCCTATAATTCAAAATAGCTGTTTTGAGGAAACTCAACAAAATTCAAGGTAACACAGAGAAGTAATTTAGAATCCTATTAGATACAGTGAACAAAGCTGTTGAGGGAATTTAAAATAATCAAGTAGAAATTCTGGAATTGAAAAATGGACTGACATATTGAAGAATGCATGAGAGTCTCTTAACAGCAGAACTGACCAAGCAAAAGAAAGAATTGGTGAGCTAGAAGACACTTGAAAATTTGTCTATTTAAAAATACAGTTAGAGGAGACAAAAAGTAATTAAAAAATAATAATAACAAATATATACAAATGCTAGAAGATAGCCTCGAAAGGGCAAATCTAAGTTATTGGCCTTAATGAGGAGACAGAGCAAGAGATAAGTGTAGAAAGTTTATTCAAAGTGCTAATAACAGAGAGCTTCCCAAACCTAGAGAAAGATATCAATATTCAAGTACAAGGAGGTTCTAGAACACCAAGCAGAGTTATCCCATATAAGGCTATCTCAAGGCATTTTATAATCAAACTCCCCAAGGTCATAAAAAAGAGTGAGATCCAGTCATTTGCAGTAATATGGGTAGAGCTAGAGGTCATTATGTTAAGTGAAATAGGCCAGACACAGAAAGACAAACTTCACATGTTCCTACTTATTTACAGGGCTGGGAAGGGATGTGGGTGGGGGGAGGGTGGGAAATGGGAATGGTTAATGGGTACAAAATTATAGTTAGAGTGAATAATATCAGTATTTGATAGAACAGGGTGACTACAGTCAATAACAATGTAATTGTACATTTAAAAATAACTAGCCGGGCGCGGTGGCTCAAGCCTGTAATCCCAGCACTGTGGGAGGCCGAGGCAGGTGGATCACAAGGTCAAGAGATCGAGACCATCCTGGTCAACATGGTGAAACCCCGTCTCTACTAAAAATACAAAAAATTAGCTGGGCATGGTGGCGCATGCCTGTAATCCCAGCGACTCAGGAGGCTGGGGCAGGAGAATTGCCTGAACCCAGGAGGCGGAGGTTGCGGTGAGCCGAGATTGCGCCATTGCACTCCAGCCTGGGTAACAAGAGCGAAACTCTGTCTCAAAAATAAATAAATAAATAAATAACTAAATGAGTATAACTGGATTATTTGTAACGTAAAGAAAAATAAATGTTTGAGGTGATGGATACATACAAAAAATTTTTTAAACCCCAGGAACGCAAACAAAAAAAAAAGAAATTCATACCTGAGAAATCATGCACTGTTTCTGATGGAAAGAGGTTCACAGTTTTCCTGCTCTGTATGTGTACCAAATGCTATTTACAAAACATCCATTTTTAAAGAGTGGCTTCTTATCTAATATTTTTTACACAGTTTAAAACCAAAGAATACTATACTAAAATAGAACAGAGGTAATCAATACTGGCTCTTAATTTTCCACATCTTATTTCTAAGTACAGGGGTCCTATTTAAAAATAACAAGAATAAAATCTATTTTATTCAGAGAGCAAAGCTTCCCAAGGGAAAATCCAGAACTCAAATAACTGGGTTTATTTTTTTTTTGCAGGAATGTTTAACAAATTAGTGAAATCCAAATTCCTCAAATCTGAAACAACTGAATTTAATACCAACTTTTGGATGGTATTAAATTTGGAACACTATCAAATTTAAAATATATTAATTTCTTTTATCAAATATAAGTATCTTATCAAAATATCAGTTTTCAACTACTTCAATTTTTTTAAAAATTCAAAATTTCAAATTTAATTATAAAATGTATCAAATATAAATTATCTTCTTTCAAAAGATGTAATAACATTCATCATAGGAATGTTGAATATAACAGGAAATGTAATAAATTTAAATAATACTATTTATAGACTTACTCCTACATTTAAATCAATATTTTCTGCTATAGTTCTTACATTTTGTAGTGAAGAAATGCTGCAAAGCCCACATGAAATTTTCTAATCACACTATACATTCATTTGTTCATTTATTCATTCACTTCAAAAATGGTTGCTGAGTGTTTAAGCGTCTGGAGGACCAGGGAAGATGTTATGGGTTCAACTGTGTCCCCTGAAGCCTAACCTCCAGTATCTTAACATGGGATCCTATTTGTAATAGGGCTGTTGCAGATTTAATTAGCTAAGTTATGATGAGCTTATACTAAAGCGGGATGAACTCTAATCCAATATGACTGGTGTCCTTACAAAACAATAAAGTTTGGACCGGGGAACACCAAGTGAAGGTGAAGGCAGAGGTCCAAAGGTCAAGGAATACCAAAGATCACAAACCAACAGAAGCTAGAAGACAAACATGGAGCAGATTTTCCCTGAGCCCTCAGAAGGAACCAACCCTGCAGACACTTTAATCTTGAACTTTTAGTCACCAAACTGTAAGCCAATAATTTTCTATTGCTTAAGTCACCCAGTCTGTGGTAGTTTTGTTATAGTAGCCCTAGGAAGCTAATAAAGAAAACTTCCCTGAAGAATTCTCATTTATGTTAAGACCTAAAAATGAAATAGGAATTAGCTGAAGAAAGTGCTGAAAAGAACATTCTAATAGTTTGGTAATAGCATGCTCAAAGATAGAAAAGAAAGGCAATGTGTGTAATGATTAAGCATAGGGTCAACAAGCCAGATCAATTCAGTCCACTATTTGTTCTCATACTGGAACACACCCACACTCATTCATTTATTTACTGGCTATGGCTGCTTTCATGCTGCAATGACAGAGTAGTTGCGATAGAAATGATATTGCACACAAATCCTAAAATATTTACTATCTGGCCCTTTATAGAAAAAGTTTGTCAGTCCCTGTTAAAGCAAAGATTGCCTGGCTTCTATCACTTCTTAGCCATGTAGACATAGGAAAGTTACTCAATCTCTCTGTGCCCCATATTCTTCACTTATGGAATGGGGATTTTAAAAAATCTCTATCATAAAGTCATGAGAATTAAATATATGTATAGTGCTTAGAAAGTCTCAGGCAACTAGTAAGTCTATATAATTATTTACTATAATTATCACCATTACTAAGTTTGAAGAACCAAAGTTGAGTGTTAGGCAAATATTAAGTCTATAAAATTGTTTATTATCTCATCACCATTAGCAAGTTTGAGAAACCAAAGATGACCAGTGTGAGGAAGACGGAGGTGTGGGACACAGCTGGAGAGCTAAACATAGGCCAAATTATTTTTCTACAGGCTGCATTAAAACATTTTGGAGTTTATTCTAACATGAATGAAAAGCATTCAACAGGAGTTTGTTTGGAGATTATCAACAGCTGAGTAGGATATTCTCCCAGGGGGGCAAAAATGTAAGGTGACTATAATAATCTCTTCAAATCCATCACAAAATTTTTACTTACAGAAAAATTTTATAATTTGTTGTATATTTTTATGTACAGTATTGAAAGATAAACTTTCAACAACTTTGTGAAACTGGTTCAAGTCATCAAGTAAAATGAAGTGTCTTATTAAGATTACAGATGGGAAACAAAACTTAGTACACAAACTCCCATGCAAATTGTACTTTAAAGAGGTTTCCAGACTTAGTAGGAGTACCTTAGGTTAAACTTTTAGAAATAAGCATCCTCTGGTCATTAGTCTCACTTCTACTATGTTAGGGTAACCATAGAATTTATCATTTAATCGGGAAGGCTTTTGAAAATAAAAGAGGGTACTATTAAAAGTTCCCTCAAAATAATAGGCATAGCCCTGCACTATTGAATTTTTTTCCATGAATCCTTGTCAGATAGAAGATGGACAAGACACATCATGAGGCTGAATGGCTAAAAAGTCATCCTGGATGAGACATCCTGAAGAATTGCACAACTCCTGTTTTGCAGTCTGAAGCACATCAGTGCGCTAACAACAGCAACAACAAACCAAAAGTGACTAAAAGAAGATACACATGACTTGGTGACTATTGTTTATAAGGTTCAAACTTGTTTACCTCCATGGCATCTTCTAAATTCTCTTCTGCATCTGCTTTCTCTGTCATCAGTTTGGCTGCCTTAAAATACGTTTTCATAAGTAGATAACCCCTTTTTGCTCCATTCCAGTACGACCGAGGAATTTCCACCAAGCCATACCCCAACAGCAGCACAAGAAGAAACAGACCCCATGTATTTGCAGCAGCTATCCCAATTGTCTGAAGCTGGTTCCTAAGAAAGAGAAACAGCAGATAATATGCATATTTTAATGGAAAGATAAAATGTGACTGCATAAACTGATGCTAACAAAGGAGACCCACTGCTTCTATTGCAGTTAAAATTAGCATCTAGAATAATTCATGGCAATAATATGTATATATTTTCCCAAAGGAAACATTTTTCATTAGGTGCTTTCCTAAGAAGGCTCAAAAGGTTTCAAATTAACTTTGTTGCTTACCTAGCAAATTTCATGAATGCAATAGTGAGACCTAGCACTGCTGATCTATTCCTAAATTTTCAGAGGTAGACCTTCACATATATTACAAGTCATAAGTATAAAACAGATTTCAATTTTATTGAAATATCTAAATCAAAGATAACAGTAAGAACAAATATGCCCTCAAATTACAATCAAAACGAGGAAAAAAAATCACAAGTTCCAATAAAAAATAAAACCAGTTATTTTATCATATAAAAATTTTGAAGGTCGGGTGCAGTGGCTCACCCCTGTAATCCCAGCATTTTGGGAGGCTGAGGTGGGCAGATCACCTGAGGTCGGGAGTTCAAGACCAGCCTGACCAACATGAAGAAAACCCATCTCTACTAAAAATGCAAAAGTTAGCCAGGCATAGTGGCACATGCCTGTAATCCCAGCTACCTGAAAGGCTGAAACAGGAGAATCGCTTGAACCTGGGAGGAGGAGGTTGCAGTAAGCTGAGATTGCACCATTGCACTCCAGCCTGGGCAACAAGAGTGAAACTCTGTCTCAGAAAAAAAAAAAAAAAAAAAATTGAAATTCTATCAAAAAATCATAAGGGTTATCACTTTTAATATATAGACATTAGACTAACCATTAATCTTTTGTCTAAAATCTGCATTTAAAAATGTCATTCCATAGTTTCTTTCTTAGTAATATGGATTATTCACATATTCTTTTGGAGAAAAATATATAACAAAGTTTCTCAATGAAATGTCTGTTTAAATCTGCACATATGAAGTTAAAAATGAATTTTTAAAAATGCAAACATACACAAAAGCAATGTTAAGAAGACCACTTTTCTTACCATTCTAAATGTAAATGTGGGTTTACAGCTACATAAATTAAAAATGCTCCAAAAATCAGCAAATAGGTGCCATAGTAGATTGCATTCTCAATTAGTGCAGTTTTGATCTTTCCAGTGATGGAAAACCCTCCTGATCTTGCATACGACTGCATAAAAGGTAAGAGAATCCTAGACGGATAGAAAACCAAAACAATTGATATGTTGTTTAATCTCAAAATACCAGAAATATGTGAATCTCAATTTTAATGTATAGATCTTCTCATTAATAAATGTTCATGAGTAATCATTAATATTTAATAAACTATAATAGATGGTTAAGTATTTTTGTAATATAAAATTTTAGGGAAAGCAAAGGCTCTAAGGCAGGAGAAAGCAAGGCACATTCCTGGAATCAAAGGAGGCCACAATGACCAGCAAGTGTGAATGACTAAAGATGAGTCTAAAATGGGCCTTTAAAGTGTTTTCATTATGAAGAGTTTGGACTGCATTCAAAGAAAACACTTTGAATCAAATTTTAGTTTCCTAAGGCTTCAGCATGGAGAATGGATAAAAGGGGAGCAAAGTTGGAACTAGTTGAGAGGGGGAAGCGTGGTGATGGTGGTACGAACAAGGGAGAAGATTGGTTGACAGCATACTGACTTAGAAGTAGTACCTACAGACATCCAAGAGAAGCTGCACACAAAATAGTTTGCTACCAGCTTCAGAGTTCAGGAGAGAGAACTAAAAATATAGATAGCTTCTAGAGTCATCACTGTATCAACAGCACTGAAATAACATCAATAGATACTCATCTGGAAGCATGAGTATGGAGAATGTGAAGGAAAGAACTGAGATAGATCTCTGAAAAATACCAACTTTTTAAGAAAGAGGTAGAGCAACAGAAGGAGGATGGATCAGCAAAAGAGACCAAGACAGAATAGTAGTGGGGCAAGGAAGAAAATCAAAGAGCATGTGGATTAGGAACTAGGAGAGGAAAGTGAAAGTGGAGAGAGAGAACAATAGAATCAAATGCTGCCAAGAGGTGAAGTAAATTAAGAGCCTGTATGTATGAGTGGTGGAGTGAGAATAGAAAGCAGAGCTTACTGTGGGTTGAGGAATAAGTAAACAATGAGCAAGTGGAGATATCAAATATAGAGAATTCATGTAAGAAGTTTGGCTGGGTAGGATAAACTATGGTATATACATATAATGGGGTATTTTACAGAAATGGAAGAGAACAGAATAATGATACATACAGCACAACACAGATGAATTTCCCAAATATGTGAGTAAAGAGAGATGCAAAAAAGTTCACAGTGTATAATTCTATGCTTATAAAGTTCATAAACAGGTAAAAACTAATCTATGGTGATGGAAGTCAGAATCATGGTTACCTTTGGAGAGTGTGGGATGACTACACAGGGAACTGTGAGCAAGGCTTCTGGGGCATTGCTAATGTTCTATATCATCATCTGAGCGCTGGTGTATGAGTGTATTCACTTTGTAAAAAGTCAAACTAAACATAATCCATGCACTTTTCGGTATGAATTTATGCTTCAATTTTAGGAAATTTCTAAAAAAATTTAGTTGTGATCAGATCAACAAGGCAGAGCTGGAAAGGGATCTGAATTGAGAGACTTATTTTTGTTCCTGTATTCTTTTCAAAGGATGAGAGAAATGTGCATGCTTTGTTGAACTTGAAAGCTACAAGTATGTAACAAGAGCTGAAGGGGATGGATCCATATTTTAGGAAGAAGTGATGGCAGCAGCAGCCTGTCTGGAGCGGCCCCCTGCAAAGATACTGGGACAACCTGTCTCAGATAAGAGCTATCTACTCCAGTCTCCTCTCTGCTGTGGGCTGCACAGACAACGGGATAACCGGCCTGCAGGTAGGAGCTACCCACTATGGATCTCCTCTCCACTGAGAGCTGCAATTGTCAGGACGGCCTGCCTGCAGAAAGGAGCTACCCACTTTGGGTCTCCTGAAAGCTGTACTATCATTGAAAAAAGCACCTTTTCACCTTGCTCGCCCTCCAGTTGTCTGCATACTTCATTCTTTCTGGATGCAGGACAAGAGCTCAGGACCTGCTGAATGGTGGAACTCACCCCTGCCACTCACCATGTTGCAGGAGAGGAGGAGAGAAGAGCTGCGGCCCTTCTGGGAGCCCAGACCTAGGGGCTCCCCAAGCCAGGGCTGTGACATCCTCTTTGGGGCTCTGAGGTTTCTGGCATCTCCAAGCTTCTGGATACTACCACATTCTCTTCATCCCGATGCGGGTGCCCACAGCAGAAGCTGCTTGCAGTGCATCTAACCCAGCTGCAGGCTTGCAGAGCCGGTGCCTGTGCTGGTGCCTGGAGCTGCCCACCCTGTCACAGCAGCCAGTGTGCCTGGCTGTGCTCAATGGCCGGACCCCATGCTTACTTGCTCACACACTCTCCTTGCCACTCCACGCCTGGCTCGCCCTTGGTAGGCGTGGGATCAGAGCCAGTAGCAGGAGCTGAGTGCAATCTGCCGGGGTGAGTAGGTGGAATGAGCCCAGCAAGCCTACCTAAAACTCAGGCAAAGGCACTGCAGGCTACAGAGGTTTCCAGCTGGCAAAACACCCCTAAGAATCCTGTGACAGAAGGACTGGCTCTAACAAGCATCTTCCGTCTTTGGAGGGGAAAGAAAAAAAGTTGAGTAGGTATGTAGATTTGTTGGTGAGAAGCTGCCTGTTTTCAGTGACTCCTGTTTTCACTGCTGGATGGAAGTAGTCATCTGCTAAAAGTAAAGACGATTATGTTGTTGTTCTTGTCGTTGTTGATAGGGAGTACAAGAAAGCAAGCCACAAAAGGGACAGAAGTTTGAAGTGACTAGAAATATTTCTTGTAAAAATGGAGAGAAAGCAAACTAAAAAAACAAAGTAGTAAAGTCTGGCAACGTTGAGGGCCCAGTTGACTTTAATAGACATGAATACACAAGAGCACTACTCTGCTATGTGATTTTTCTCTTGCAATGTTCAGTACCTCCAGTTTTAGAGTGCAGTTGTTTGCAGATCTAAGAGATGCTTAGTAGGCAGTGGATAAGTATGAGATTGGAGCATAGCAGAAAGATAAAGCTATAATGGGTAGAAAGATTCAGAATCCATTATTGGTCGATGAAACCATGGCTATAATTACAGCTATGCAGGGAGAGTCTGACAAGATGACCAAGATAGGACTCTAGGGAAGATCAACATTTAGAAAATGGGCAACAGAAATGGCATCCATAAAGGAAATTCAGAAGGCTGGGGAAAGCAAACAGAGAGAAAGCCAGAGTAACGTGACCTTAGCAAGGGCAATTTCATATAATAATGGGGCTGGAAGAAGGACTGGACTCAAGGGCAAAAGAGAAGGCAATAACAGGAAGGAAATAGTAATAAGAAAATCTTTGTTTCTGTTTTCTATTTTCTATTTGTGTGTTTCTATTCTTTTTCTTTTTCTTTTTTCCGTAAAATGGGTCAAAAGAGAGATTGAGAGAGCAGAAAGGGACAAAATAGAGATTTATGGAAAAAATTAAACATAAATAAATTCCAAAAGTTAAAGATTCACTGAAAAATAATGTTTTATTCCATTAGCCAAAATTTTAAAAATTTTATCCTTTACTGTAACTTACCAAGTTAAAAATTGTGATGTCCAATACACTACCCTCCAGAAAATTGGCATGATTCCATCAGGAATGTAACTCCATGGCTTGAAACATGGATGCTGGCTGTGGAATTAAAAATTTAAAGCCAATTAATCATAAACAACGACTACTTAAGTGAATTATACAATTAATTTGCATGTGGCCAAGTTAATTTACATTCAGATTTTAAATTACTGACTCTAATAATCAATAACCCATAAAATTCCACATAAATTTTAAAATTCAAAGCTGTCAAACTANAAAAAAAAAAAAAAAAAAAAACGACAGAAGTCAACAAAATAGTTTGTTCTGAATATACCATTTAAGTTTTCAACTTTCAGTGTATTTTTAGTCATTGGGTAAAAAGAAAATTTAATGTTCAACTAATAGACTAAAAGTGCAACAATCGTTAAAAGCAAATGTATTATAAAATAACATTTCTGATGATTACCTTTAAAATACACACTCCCCTTATTTATAAGGTTAGGTCCCCCCCCCAACCTCCCCCCACCCAACACCTTGCAGGGCATAGGGGTTGGGAGGGGAAAACAATAGGTGATTAATTCCTGAAAATTGGAATGCTAATTAAATCATTCACTATACCATAGCTTCTATGGAGATGCATGCTAGCACCCATACATAATTCTGTTTAACTTTCTGAAGACATGATGAGTCTCTGATCATAAATTCATTCATGTAGCCATATTCCTAAGCTATAAGGATATCCCAAGAACTTCCAACAGTCTGTAGTTGCTGCTGATCTTTATCCATTTTTTTAATAGTGCTTCAAATGAAAGTAACACCTGCATTTTAAATTTACCTTTTCTCAAGTTATATTTTTTTAAAAACATGCATAAAGAAACATGCAAATACTACTGAAAGCATTCTTAAAGGCTACAGTCAACATATATATGCTTTTTACTTAAAAGTTTGATATGAATTCAGTAAAATCTTTGGACAATTTGAACTTTATTCATTTTTTATGTAAACCTATAATGTTTTTGAAGGATGTGCAATATGAAAGGAATACCATAAGTACAGAAATACTTGTCCTTTATTATAACCTTGCAAATTAAGCAAAAGTGAAAATGCATGCCACATTTTTAAATCAGAGATAGGCTGAGAGGAAAAATAGGTTTTAGAAATTACATACTCAGTAAAGAACGAGAACTAAAAAATCAGGTCTTCTTCAAGTTTCTCAGTACCATCTACTGAAGGGCCTTGTGGACCAATAAATATTAAAAATTAGATTTAATTAGAATACGATGTAATAAAAAGTCTACTAGCAAAGAACAGAGGTGGCGGGAATCAGTAGAAAATGAGAATACTTACAAAACTATAAAATCTGGATGGTAAAAACTTTTAATTTTTAAATAATTTGTCCCTTATAATTTTCATATTTTTTTAAAAAAGGAAATACCTTGGAACAGGGTTAGCAGTTGCGTACAATCCTGTAATGTTGCTGTTCTCAGGAGGGCTTGAATTTGCAGCAGCATGCTTGCACCGGTTGTATATTGTCTAAAGTAACGAACGTATGGTTTCAAAATGAGAATCAAAAGGTTACCAAGTACTTAAAGGATATCAGAGTTTATAATTCTATCTATTTAAACTTACCTTCCCAGCTATGCTTTTTAATGATCAAATGCCCACATAATCTTTTAATTCAAAATATAAGTACAAATTGACATAACTTAGCTGTCTTAAGAAATAACATTATTTCCAACATGCTGTATGATTACAATTATCTTTTAAATTGTGAAAATCAGTTTTACTCCTTACCGTACTAACATCCAGAGGCAGTATGAAGACAATAAGAAAGCAGAGATACCAAGCAAGCAGCGTTCCAATAATTACAAGTCTATGCTGTTTCTTAAAGTCTCCATATCGATGAAGTAGAAATAATGCCAGAAAAAAGACAAAAACAATCTCAAGTCCCAAAGCTGCACCACTCATTATTGAATATTTCACTCTGACTAATCAAAGTTATTCATGTACAGATCTGGACCATATCTGTGAAGTGAAAAGAAAATTAAAATGCATTATTAACATAGGAAATGACACTTGGAAATTTCCTAAATATTAATACATTAATAAACTATTTGGAGAAATGTCATGCTTCATATAGGAAAGAGTAATTCCTATCCGCCAGCACTTATATTTTATTTTTTAATGCACACTTAAAAAATTTCATATGCCTTGTATTTTCAAAATCTTAACAAAAATTATACTAGTTCTTACAATATTACAAATTAAGAAGTTCTTAATTTAGATGTCAACAGTTTTAATATAATGTCATTTGGGGTTTGTTTCTTAATGCTATAAGTTCTAACAGAATAGCTTATACAAATAAGCTATTGACTAAATCCTAGAAAATTAGATACTTAGTAAAATACATTTTTCTAAGATTATTCATCCTCTATAAGATTTTCTAAAAGAGAGGGAGGAAAAAATGGAAAGACACCATTTAAAAGCAACTTTTCCTTTGAAACAGTATTTTTCTTTTGTGCTAATTTTGCCTAACAACTTTCATAACTCGAAATTATTACTCACTGCTTCACAAAATATATTTATTACTTCCCATTTATCTACATAAATCTTAAACTTACTTTAACAAATTCTCATTTTTAATTTTTTTACTATTTTATATACAGAAAATTTATCAATGATTATTGAATAAAGTCATAAATTTGAAAACATTCTTAATTTTATGATACAGTCATCAGCAAATAGTTTATCTAATATCTCTGTACTCACAAAAAACAGAGCATAAAGGTTCAAAGTCTCTATTTTAAAATTAAAAAATTTGAGACCAGGCTAAGTGGCTCAGGCCTATAATCCCAGCAATTTGGGAGACTGAGGTGGGTGGATCACCTAAGATCGGAAGATTGAGACCAGCCTGACCAACATAGAGAAATCTCATCTTTACTAAAAAAAAAAAAAAAAAACAAAATTAGCCAAGCATAGTGGCGCATGCCTGTAATCCCAGCTGCTCTGAAGGCTGAGGAGGGAGAATAGTTTTAACCCGGGAGACGGAGGTTGTAGTGAGCCGAAATCATGTCACTGCACTCCAGCCTGGGCAACAAGAGCAAAGCTCTGTCTAAAAAAAAAATTGATATCTCTCTATACTTAAAAAAATTTACTAATTGAAGGCAATATGAACTTTTCACCTTTGTTAGACTTTTGTTTACCTACATACTACAATATTACAAGGAATTGATTACTATCCTAACATAGAAAATCAAGACTGTGATACAACACAACAAAATAAAATAAGGGGCCAGGCATGGTGGCTCACACCTGTAATTCCAGCACTTTGTGAGGTCAAGGCAGTTGGATCACCTGAGGTCAGGAATTCAAGATCAACCAGGCCAACGTGGTGAAACCTTGTCTCTACTAAAAACACAAAAATTAGCCAGGCATGGTAGTGAGCGCCTGTAATCCCAGCTACCTGGGAGGCTGAGGTAGGAGACTCGCTTGAGCCTGGGAAGTGGAGGCTGCAGTGAGCTGAGATCGCACCATTGCACTCAAGCCTGGGCAACAAGAGCAAAACTCCGTCTCAAAAAATAAATAAAAAATAAAAAATAAAATAAGGGAGAATCAATAAAATACTTAAAATCAATAAACATCTCTGAAACTAGTTAGAATAATAAAAAGAAAGTTTGAGTACTTTAAAGGGTTAAATTTAAATTTATATACAAAATACTCCTACATGAAATATCGCAAACAAAAATCACATTTAATAAACAATTTTCTTCACTCTTTATATTGTTAAGCAGTTTCTACTTCAACTATCAATACTTTCATTTTTCTTATATATCTAAAATTGAACCTCTTTCATCACTCTCTACCCTCTTATCCTGCTATATTTTTCTTCAATGCACTTATCCATCTGATATGATACACATTCTTTATATTTATTAATTGTCTCTCTGAACCTCTCCCCTTACACCAGAGACTCTATGAGAGCACAGACTTGACTATTTTATTCCACACTATATTCCAGTCTAATGTAGTGCCTGGCATATAGTAATATCAATAAATATTTGTTGAAATAAAAAATACTGTTACTTTAATACATACACTATTTTTCTATTACTGCTAACTTCAAAGGCAATGTAAAACTCTTGTAATAGTAAACTGATTTTACAAATACTTATTACAACTCAAAAGGCTTAAAACTGTGAACATTACCAAATACTACTCAAATTTTCAAATTTCATATTCTATGAAACAACTTATACCACAACAAGAGTAAGTCAAATCTTATTTTTTAAAAAAATAGACAAGGTTTTATCATGTTGCCCATGCTGGTCTTGAACTCCTGAGCTCAAGTGATCCGCCTCAGCTCCCAAGGTGCTGCAATTATAGGCATGTGCCACAGCACCCAGCCAAATCTTATTTTTAAGCTAACCATGGATTAAGCACTTGGTTGAAAGCTCAATGCAGAATGTGCTGATGACAAAACCATCTTCAAGATCTAGGGTTTTTTTCCTTTAAAAAAACCCATTAGATGTGAGTTTAAATATAACATAATTGTTATCTGAAAATCCTTTTATGATGTGAACTAGACCTGAAATTGTCCAGTGTAAGGAATATGACAATCCTAAGGAAAAAAGACTAAATATTAGAGATTACCAAAGGAATGCTAAAGTATGACAGAGTGAAATGATGACATAATACTGTAGTATAAGAAATATTTGTTAAGATTGTTTAATAATATCAAAAAACTAGCCTAACAGTAATTGAAAATTTGACACATATTTTTACATAAGCATAAAAAAGAGTAAGGTAACAATGAAATATATTAAAATATCAATAATCTTTAGGTGGTAAGATATAGGCATAATAAGCAAACGATAGGCTGGGTATGGTGGCTCACACCTGTAATCCCAGCACTTTGGGAGGCTGAGGCAGGCGGATCACCTGAGATCAGGAGTTTGAGACCAGCCTGGACAACATGGTGAAACCCCATCTCTACTAAAAATAAAAAATTAGCCAGGTGTGATAGAACACACCTGTAGTCCCAGCTACTCGAGAGGCTAGGCTGGAGAATCGCTTGAACCTGGGAGGCAGAGGTTGCAGCAAGCCAAGATCACACCACTGCACTCCAGCCTGGGCAACAGAATGAGACTCTATTTCAAAAAAAAAGCAAACAACAAACTCAGTTATAAACCTGACACTAGCTATTAATTTTTTTACTATGGCACTCAATTTTTTAGTCTGATTCATAGTCAGCACTTTAAAGGGCTGTGGATGAATAAATAAAATTATGGATCCTTTATTCTAGTAATAAATGATTTGGTTACATCCCTTTCCACACTTAGCATGTTGGTCTCCTACCACAGATATAACAAATTGCTACAAACTTAGTGACTTTAAACAACACCTATTTATTATTAATATCTTATAGTTTCTGTATGTCAGAAATTCAAACACAACATAATTCAACTGAGTTCTCTGCTTAGGGTAACACAAGTTTAAAATCAAGGTCAGCAGGTTTGCATTTTTCTCTGAAGAAGAATCCATTTTGAAGCTCATTCAGGCTACTGGCAGGGTCTCACACTGTATCCCAGGCTGGAGTGCAGTGGAATGATCATGGCTCAGTATAAGCTTGAGCTCCCGGACTCAACTGATCCTCCCACTTCAGCTTCCAGAGTAGCTAGGATTATAGGTGTGCATCACCATGCCTGGCTAATTTAATTTTTTTTTTTCCTAGAGGCAGGGCCTTGCTATGTTGCCCACGCTGGACTCAAATGCCTGGCCTCAAGTGATCCTCTCACCTTGGCCTCCCAAAGCACTGAGATTAAAGGCATGACCCGCCTAGCCAAGACAAAACTCAGTTCTTTATGGTTATAGGACTGAGATTCCCTGTTCCCCTGCAAGCTGACAGTTGGCATTTGCCCTTAGCTCTAGAGGCCTCTCCCCAGTCTTTTCATGTGGCTCTGTATATCTTTTTCTAATTGTATACATTTAAAGTACACAACAGTAATGTTTTAATATACTGTACATATACAGTGAAATACAAACCATAGTCAAACAAATTAACATAACTATGTCCTCACATACTTTTCTCTCTGTGTATGTGTGTGTGGTCCTGTATATTTTAAAAGAGCAATGGTTTGTCAACTTCTCCTCATGCCTGAAATCTCTATTTTTTAAGGCTCATCTGATTACAATGGGCCTACCTGAATAATCTAGTCATTTTTACTGGTTCCAGAGATTAGGGGATAGACATTCTTAGGGTAAACATTATTCTGTTTATCATACCATCTATTTCTGTTGAGGCTGAAATATATTGCCTTCTTATGACATACAGCTAGGACCAGTGATCCCATGAAATTGGAGATAAAAATTGGTTTTTCTAACTTGAGATGAGAAAATAATAGTTTCAAAGTCCATATCTTTTAAATAATAATTTTAAAGTCCATATCTTTAACCTTGTACCAACATTCAAGTGATGAGTTGTAAGGTTTAGGAAAGAAGGAGAAGAAAGGAGATGATATGATGATGATGATGATGATGATGATACCAAAATGAGGAGGCAAATAAAAATTCAGTGCCATGTGATTATGCCCCTCAGTAGCAAAACTTGATTATACTCAAAATCAAAATGTCAATTCATTAAAACTACCAGATTTTAGTGCCTGATGCAAAATATCAGTTCTGAAAGTCTTAAATACTTAAAATCCAATTCAATCTTTTTCCAATCATCAAAATATTATTTAAGATTACTTTCAAATGCCTTCATAATGGTTTCATAATTAGCATGTTACTGTTACTGACTTGAAGTACTGTTTCCTTAGTACTTTATGGCTGATAATAGTTTTTCAGGTTAAACACCCTTTGATGGAATTTTAGAGGTTAAGATAATTTTGAAGAATTCCAAATGTTTTGAGAGACAGAGAGAGAATGGGTAGCAATTGATCAGAATACAAACAAAACACTGACAACAATTTTGTCAAAACCAAATATTCTGAAACCAAATGAAAAATTTATGACTGGAACCTAATGATTCATCAGACTCAAATACTGTTAACTTAAATATCTGAGTCTGATGATCATTAGGTACCAATCAGAAATTTTACCTAACTTAACGTATCTGTATTTTTACTCAGATATACGAAATAAAAACTAAGAGACAAAATCATAATGAAAAATCAAAAGAACCAGAACCAGAAGTGAATAAGTCAACAATTTTCTACCAAAAATCAAAATTTAAATCTTCCAAACATAATTGTTATTCTCAAAGATTTCAGGTACAGAGTTCAGTTTAAGACATAGACTACTGCAAGGAGACTATTACTCCCACTCTGAAAATGAAAAAAAAAAAAAACTCAAAATAATTTTTTAAAGGTATCTAAGAGCTAAGTTGGTGAATCAACCAGGTAACCTGAATTCGAAAATGTGACAAGCCCCTGAGGTAAAACATACATACAAACCGCTTTACCTTTTGCAAGGCATAAAGAGAAGAGGTAGCAATCATGTAAGCATAGAAGAAAAAAGAACTGAAATTTTACTGAATTCTTAAAGATTTCATATACAGAAATTGCAAGACATCTTGATAGAGAATAATCTGTAAAGTGTTTCCTAATAATAAATAATTTTAAAAAAAGAATATCTAACATTTAGTATGTGTTTACTAAATTTTAAGAATTGTATTAATACTAGTACCGACCATGCTTTATCAAATTAGACATTACAACCTAGTAAGAAAGGACTGTTTGTTTCCTTGCTTAACAGAAAAAAACAGTGCAGAGAGGGTGAGTAATTTGTCCAAGTTAACAGAGTTGGTGAATGGTAAAGCTAGGATTCAAAGAGAGGCATCTTCACTATAGAACCTGGATCATAATTACACATCTCTTCTCCAATCTAGACGTACTTTTTTAATGCAATTTAAATTCCTTAATGATCTATTTTGTTCAGTCTTCCAGAGAACAAATTAGAAACGTTCTCCTGTGATTCTTTTAGATATAGCAAGACAGAATGCTAAGTCATGTTTAATACAGAATTTAACACAAACTTTTTACCTTAAGATTATACTACCATTACTTGATTTAAGGGTAATATATGACTCTACTCTACATGGGAAAAGTGGAAAACACAGAGCAAATTAGAACCCTTTTGTTCTTGCCTCAATCTGCTTATCATAGAGCATTAAATTGCAATGAATTAAAGATCTACTTTAAAATTAATCAAGGAAAAAAGGTCCTCTTGAAATTTTATTGGCAGATAGAAGCTCCTTGATATGTAATGTTTCTCAGCCATTTGCTCCCCTAAGCTAAATAACAAAAGTAAAAAACTAAAGAAATTTTAGCATTTACTTCATGTTATGATGGAACTAAGAAAAAATATACAGCCCCTCTGTTTAAATAGAATCTCTTCTGTCATATTTCATCTCCAATAATGGCATACCTACTAAATATATATTTACAACTTGTAGTCAGTTATGACTGCCAGTCCTTTTTGGCCCCTCCTGTTCCCTGATATTGATCATCTTTTAATTACGCTGTGGTTTTGACTGCTTAACTGACATTGCTTTTGCCTCTCTCAGGCATCTCATGTTGTATGATAAACAGTCACTGTAGATTTGCCGATTTACAGTCACTTTGTATTCTATCTGAAGCTTCCAAAAGCGTACTAGTAATTACTCATCCTAATTTCATTTGCATTATTTTAAAAATGGCTTTTGTCTTGGATACTGATAGAGTAATTCCAATTCTAGAAAAATGGTATATCTCTCTTATTAAAATGGAACATGGAGTGCACTGAGTAAAATGAAACCAATGAAATTAATCAGAAAAAATCAGATGCATCAATAGCAATCACAATGCAGTTCTTTGTCACCAGAGAGCAACATCTGTGTACCTACTAATCTCGTCTTCAATGGACGCAATTCCTTATGTTAAAAAGAATCGATTATACCAATTTAAACTTGTATTTATTACACTAAGATAATAGCCATGATTAAAAGGAATGTCAAAAAAGTATTCCCATATTAGGAAGGTAAAGTATTTCTGTTACTGGGGCAAACTATTAGACTAATTTTCAAAGTTGACAGGCTTTCCCTGAAGTCCTACAGAGAAACTTGTGTTCACTAATTGAGATGTTGCAAGTATTCTAGTTCTCAGGTAACTTCCTAGTAAAACCAAGACTGAACAAAAAAAATATTTCTCATCTTTAAATTTAGAATCATCTCATCGATTAGACCTTCCTATTTATGAGATCTATATCTAAAGTGGGCTCTTGCAATTATTTTACATCTCAAAACTGTTTACTCTCATTATTTTGGCATATTATGGCATCTTACATATTTTTGTTTAGTCTTTCTCCTCCATTAGCTTACAGGTTCTGTTTTGTTCCCTTTCCTGAAGGAAATTATAATTTTTGTGTCAATATTTTCTCCTATGATTTGCAATCTTAAGGGAAAGGGTGTAGAGTCAAACTAAGGCAACTGCTTTCTCCTTAGCCAAAGTAACATAAAGGTCACTTTGTGTGAAAAATCAGGATATTGCATTTTTAAATGTTTTCCATACAGCATTAGTTTAATGAACTGCTCAGCCTAGTATTCTGCACCTAATTCCAATCAAAATCAAGTTGTGAACAGATTCATTATTTACACCAATCTCACCTTTCAAAAACAAGCTAAAGTTTCATGAATTCCTTCCTCCCTCAAGAGGCAGTTACTTTTCAAGCTAAGGACCAAGATTGAAATAAGCACATACCTGGGCAAGGGAGGTTTAATTTCACTACAGAGGGAATCATTTTTTCAAGGAAACCAGAGGGTGTGTCATACAGCATCAGTGAATAGTCTAATATGCGATGAAGATGTTATGCTTCCTTAGGAACTTTATAAATCTTCATTTTTATGAGGTTTAGAATTCATCCCCCTTCCCTCTTCCACTGTTTTCTCGAGGTCACAGTTGCAGTATGGTTTGCCCGATGGATTTCGCATGGTCATTGTGCCTAGAATATGCCACCCTCCCTACTTTAACCACCCCCAAAATCTTCTCAGCAGATAGGCTGAAAACAGCTCGCTTTTAGGCGGCGACGCAAACACACGTAGCCCGTCGAACGTCAGCAAGCAACCAAAAGTCTTTGCTGGAGGTCCCCTGCGTTGCATGGGTAAAGCCCGTTGCAAAACACAGTCCTTTCATTTATTCCCATGCTACTATTTACGAGACCTGTCAAGTCTGCAAGGGCATGCGCAGCCTTCCCACCACAAAGGACCCGCTGGGGTCTCCGGCTCCCCTAAAATTAAACCACTGTTTTTCGTTCCAACTGCGTTTTTAGCTATTGTGCGTATTTTACAGATAAAGGAAGGATCCTGTCCACAGACCCAATTCTAAGGGCCGCCTTCTCCCCGAAGGAGGAAGCAGCTTCCTGGCAAAGGGACGAACAGGTGTGACGCCCGCGGTTCGCAGCCTCTCACCTGGCGGGCGGGCTGGGCTACAGCCACCACTCAGCGGCCAGAGACGTGGGCCCCGCGGCGGCGGCGGCGGCCACTCGGGGTCTCCCAGGTCCCCTCTCTTGCCGCCTGCGCTCGGCCCGGGTCCCCAGACACCAAAGCGTCTCACGCGTTCCCACTCAGGCTCACCGTCCGATCTCGCCAGACAGCGTCTGGATGGGACCAGGAAACGGCGGCCGCCACAGCTGTCCAGGTTCTGGGATGCACACTCAGAGACGACAGCGCTGGCGATCACCAGAAGGCCTGCAGGCTCCCGGGAAAGGAATATCCGTCTACAGTCAAGTGGCTGACATTTCCCAGTCAGCCTTAGCGCCGCCCGCTTCCGCCTCCCCGCCTACCCCGTGGACCAGCCAGTCCCGCTCCCGCGGGGGGTTGTGGGTATCTCGAAGGCGGGCAAAACTGCCAGGGAAGGAAGTAAGGGCCAGGCAGTCGGACTACGAAACAGGACGAAAACTACAATTCCCAGCAGGCCATGGGGCCGCAGTGCCCCGCGAAGTAGAGCGGGCTTGTAGAGTCTTGCGCGCGCTGCTGGGATGGAACGTTGCTAGACTTAGCGGGGCTAGCTGCTGGGGGCCCGAGCAGCACGCTCGGAGCCGCCGCGCGCCAAAGCGGGAATCCGGGAGGCGGGCAGCTTTGCAATTAATGCACGTATTTTAAACTCCCGAACCTGAGGACGCTATGCACAGGTAAACAGATTGCAAAAAGTGGAAGAGCATGAATGGACCCTTTTAATAATTCTTTTAGGCCGCGAATATCGCTACTGGCTAATATTGTTGGTAACGCTGTTAAGTGAATGGTTGCTTAGCCCCTTCTTGGGAAAGTGTGAATGGCTGGATGCTTTAATGCGGGGATCAGCGTGCGGTTTTATTTGGCTTCCCTAATTGGGCTTTTCTGCCACCGTTTTCAATCAGTGTATGATTGCCCTCTCCCTCTCTCTCTCTCTCTCTCTCTCTCTCTCTCTCTCTCTCTCTCTCTCTCTCTCTCTCTCCCTCCTTGTCTGTTCCCTCCACTGGGAGAAATTCTTGAGGCCTTCTGCACTATCGTTAAGTCAAAAAGCCTTTTCGATTTGTTCTTTAAATTTCTTTTTTTTTTTTCTTGAAAACTCGCCGCGAGCATGTAAAAAGGGGGATTCTGTTAGCCGCTGTGAAGGGTCTCTACAATGCATAAATTCCAGGTTCTTTAATGCCTCCCTTGGAATTATTTATGGGTGTTTTCGAAAGGAACCGGGGGTATTGTGCACTTCTGCAGGAAGCACCTCCAGGAGATTCCAGACCTGAGTAGCAACGTTGCCACTAGCTTCACGTGGGGATGGGATTCCAGCAAGACTTCTGAACTGCTCTCAGGCATGGGGGTCTCCGCCCTGGAGAAAGAGGAGCCCGACAGTGAGAACATCCCCCAGGAACTACTCTCAAACCTGGGCCTCCCGCAGAGCCCCCCAAGGAAACGGCTGAAGAGTAAAGGGAGTGACAAAGACTTTGTGATTATCCGCAGACCTAAGCTAAATCGAGAGAACTTTCCAGGTAAGGCTATGAGGGTAAAAAATGTCAGTTATGCAAAGGGTGGATTTAGCTATGCTGTTGGGAAACCTTTGTTCAGGGATCTTTACCATGGGTTCCTTTTAAGATTGCCTAATTCTGAAGTTATTTTTTCAACAAAATGGGGGAAGTCGTCAAGTATGCAGGAGTCTTGGTGGGTATATATGTTTTGGTGCACAATCACCTTGAAAATTTTAACCCATGAGAAGACACTCCTGCCTTTTTCCTTAGAAGGGAATCTGCCTGCCCGAAGGCCAGCTCGGTACCACCGATGAATAGAAACAAACAGTGATCTTCTTGTAGGATTCCTTTTGCCTTGTACCCCTGAGTGAGCTTTTTGTCTTAATCACTTTAGGTATTTATCAGTGGACTGCTGAAGTGAATGTTTACCTAAGTGGAGATTTATCTCCCCAGGTTCAGTCCCACTCCCATATTGGCTTCTCCTGTGTATTCTGTCGCCATTACTGCTGATACTATCTTGTTTAATCACCCAACCCAAAAACCTGGAGTCAGTAAGGTTCCCACCTTCCCACAACATCCAGTCGTTCATCACATTTTATCCTCTTCTCTGGTAACTATTTCTTAAGTTCTCATCATCTCTTGCCTGAACTATTGGAGTAGATTTATAGTTCCAACCTTCTTCTCCCCAGATCTATCCCACGGAACTAGAATGGATTGACTGAAATGTAGAACTCACTATAACTTCCCTCCTTAATAGCTCCCCATCCCGTAGTTTCTCAGGCAGGTGAACGAGTGCCTCCCAGAGTGAACCAGAACCCTGGAATATGCAAAAGCCATAGGGTAAACATAGGGCATTGACCTGGGGTTATCAGTTTTTCTTACCAGTAAGACATTTAAAACAGTAATACAGCAAATATTTGCTGAGCACATACCATGTGCTAGGCAGTGTTCCAGGTGCTGGAGATAGAGGAGTAAATACAACACAAACATTTCTGCTCTCAGGAAGCATCCATTCTAGTGAGAGAATACAATAAACACAATAAATATGTTGAGGTAGTATATTAGAAGGTGATAAGTGCTATGGCTAAAAACACAAATAGAACAAGCCAAGAGGGAATGCAGGTCCTTGGGTGGGAAGATAGAGTACACTTTTAAACCAGGTATTGAGGGAAAGCCTCAATTGAACAGTGACCTTTAAGCAAAGACATGAAGGAGGACAGGAAGTGTGACATGCAAATATTTTTGGAGAAAAGAGCTCCATGCAGAAGGAACAGCCATTGCAAAGACCCTGGTGCATAAACGTGACATGTTTGTTCCAGGAACAGGGAGGCCATATTCTAAGAGTGAAATGAGCAAAGGGGAGAGTTAGGAGATCAGGCTGGAAGTAATGTTGGGCAGAGTTGTGATGGGACCCGATTTAACCTTTTGAAAAGGACACACTGATGTGTTGAGACTCAATTGCAGGTGTGCCAAGGGTAGAAACTTGGAGCTTTTTAAAATTTTATATTTTCAAGACGGAGTCTTGCTCTGTCGCCCAAGCTGGCGTGCAGTGGCATGATTTCGGCTTTTGGCTCACTGTCTTCACCTCCTGGATTCAAGTGATTCTCCTGCCTCAGCTCCCCATGTAACTAAGACTATAGGCATGCACCACCACACCCAGCTAATTTTTATTTTTTAATGGAGATGGGGCCTCACCATTTTGCCCAGGCTGGTCTCAAACTCCTGGATTCAGGCGATCCTTCAGCCTTGGCCTCCCAAAATGCTAGGATTACAGGCATGAGCCACCACACCTGGCCAAAGCTTGGAGTCTTGTTGGGGGTGAAGGTGGTCAGGTTCCAGATATATTCTGATGTTAAAGTCAGCAATTTAGGGGCTATTGAAATGATCTGTGGAAGACGTGATCAGAGTCTAAATTGAAATCAGCTGGGGGATGATGGCGACGCAGAAACAGATTAAAGATTTAAAGATGAAGTCTGGCAGACCCAAGATAGTTAAGTATGTTCATAAATCCTCCCATCTGGTTTCCTTTGCAGAAGGGTTGATAGATTGGTTGTTTTAGTTGGTTGGTTGCTCTCTCACTTCGGCAGCACATATACTAAAATTGGAAATACAGAGAAGATTAGCATGGTCCCTGCGCAAGGATGACATGCAGATTCGTGAAGTGTTCCTCTACTTTCTTAATTAAAAAAAAAAATACATTTGTTTTCAGCCTTTTCTTTAGGAAAGAGAACTTTGTCCAATTTATGGTCTGGGAATATATATCAGGAACTGGATTAATTAGAGAGGCAGTAGAGGGTTGTGGTGAAGTCAGATCTAAGTTTGAATCCTTATTCTGCTGTTTACCAGCCTTGGAACGTTGCTTTCTGTGCCTTAGTTCCTTCATCTGTGAAATGGAGTGCTGTAATAATACCCACTTCACAGGTCATTGTGAAGATTAAATGAGAGTGTTGTAAAGCTCTTAGCATGCCACTGACCTGTAACACTCAATAAATAAACCAACAAAATCCCTGACACCAATTTTGGAGGCTAATGGGCTTTTATTTTATTTTTTGTTTTTAATACTGTTAGTCTGACCCTGTTAGTGTAGAATTTTTTTCCTTCAAAATTTAATGCTCACCACTATTTTTCATGTCTGGAATGTAGCCCTAGCAATTTTGTGCTTGACCAACCAAATATGGTGAACGATACTTCCTGCTTAGATGAACAGATTTTTATTAACTTGTCCAGTGCCGATAGCTTTTGACAGAGTGTGATTGCCATATGCCCTTCCACAAGTGAAAAAGACTTTTTTTTTAAGCAAGGCACTGTGGGAACAAGACAGAAGTTTCTGGAGTCTTTGCTGTCTCCCAGGGATTTGCAAGTCAAGTTGAGTAGAAAATACGATAAAAAATAAGAGCAGTTCACACACAGCGATACATGGAGACTAACAGATTAGTAGCAGATGAGTAGCTTAGGCAATGAGTGCTGTAGGGGGCCAGAGAGAGGAAGCCTTCTGTGCACAAGTAGCCCAAAGCCTCCCAGAGGCAGTGGCCTCCTGCAGTGATTCCCATTCAGGTGGATGTGGAAGATCTTCCTCCTTCCACTCAACAAAAATGGAGGTTCTGCGGAAAGAGAAGGATCTGAAAATGGTGTCATCAGTGTCTTGACTGTTGTTAAAGTGGACTTGAAAAGTATATATCTAAAGTGAGAGAGAAAGAATAGTGACTTTTATCTTTATTGCCTAAGGAGAGGCACGGAGGGAAACCAATGTATGTGGACTTACAGCAGAGGTTGCTTAATTGGTATGGAGGGGGAAGGGTGAACCCAATGTTGCAGGATGAGGGACAGCTGGTATGGAGGATTCCCAGTGGGCCTTTGGAAGCCTGGGCCTCCAGTGGAGCCGGATTGCCATTCCAAGGAGTTTTGTCTGCAGTTGTCAGGACAGGTGGCTATTAGCTTTGCCAGGATTAGGGTAGAGCAGGCCACACCTGCTGTACATAGATATCTGATGACTGGTCTGGGTTGCAAGTTTTTGTTCTTTGCTAAGCAGTGTCTCCCTCAGGCCCCAGTCCAGCCTTACATCTGGCAACTAAATCCTCTTCATCTGTTTATCTTGGAAGATGAAAGCTCTGTGGCCAACCTGTAGCACAACAGGTCCAATTGGCCCTTGGAGTGAGTGAGTGGAAAGACTTGGGGAGGAAATGGTCCAGCAATGAGGTTAGTAACAGGCGGAAAGAGGACAATAGCATTTTATTTATGGTCATGAAATGCTTGTCCCCCACACTTTAAACAGGTGATAGCATGAAAATGCAGTTGAACTAATTTGTTGATCAGCTCTTCTATGACTGTTAAATGCTTGAAATTTCAGATCCTACAGTGGCTTTCAGACTGGAGATACTAAAATTTAGAGCATATCAGAATCCCCACGGGAACTTGTTCAAAGTGCAAAATTCCTGAGATTCTGACCTAGGAAGTCCTGGCCTGAGCCTGGGAATCTGTGTCTTAATACCCTTAGGCAAGCATTTTTCTCCAACTTTTTTTTAAACCGTAAGAAACATATTTTACATTGCAATCCTAGGTATGTGTCTGAAACAGCAGTTTTGCAAAACTATATTTCCCCTTACTAAGATATTTTCTATTCTGTTCTAGTTCCTTCCTTAAAAAAAAAAAAAAAAAAATATATATATATATATATATATATGGTAGTCAAACTCACTAAATTGATTTCATGACCTATGTGAGTCTCAGCCTACAGTTACTAAAATCAGCACTGGAAGAGCCTTTACGGGATCTTTCCCAGTCATTATTTGTTCCACAGTTTCCTTTCATTCATTCATTAAGCAAATACTTCTTGAGCACCATTCTAGGGATTGGGACTACAACACTGAACCCAACAGGCAAGAAACTCTGCCCTCCTAGTGCTTACATACTGTTCCATATTTCTCCAAACCCCAGTTTCTGTTGTTTCTTCATTACACCCCCTACACCTCAGGGTTAGGCAAGTCTTTCATAGAAGTAAAGGGTTGTGGGACTGAAGGGTATGTGGGGGAATCCTTGTTAAGTTTGGCTGTGTTTTGCTTTTTCCAGTTTTGCCCACCTAGCTAAAAAACCAAAAACACACAAAACTAGCATGGTCTTAAGTTTGTTCTTTATGGTTTGTGAAAAGAGGAAGGAGAACTCATCTGGGATGGCACAATCTGTTTGTAGTTCCCCAAAAAGAAAGCATGGGGTATTGCTACTTAAAACAAGCCACAAAAGCAATCATGAGGTGAGCACCCCCTAACTCCCTGAAAAAAATGTACACACACACAAACAAGTGTGAATACCAGGTCCTCAGTGCACATTTCTACTGCAAGTATAATTTGATTATCTATGCTTAAAGAGAAGAGCAATATTTGAAGTCAAAAGTTTGATTATGATTAGGATTACTTTGGATTTTCTTGAATCTGAGTGGAGTGTTCTGAAAAATAAATATATCAAGTAAGATGAATTACCTACACTGCAAAGATGGAATGCATAGAAAACGCTCCAAAAAGGCCCTCTTC